CCACACACAGTTATACCTACCTTGCAAGTTTGCTGAGGCCGAGGACTTGCTTGTTAGGAAGATAACCAATATGGACCTTCGGAGAAGAGAGAGAAGTCATGAGCTAAGTGAAACACACATCTTCTTTGTGACAAAATAAGAAAATAAAGGAAAAATATAGTATACATATACATAATTCATCACAATGACAGTATATCTTTAAAATATCTAGAAGCTTTAAGACTTAGAAAATAAAGCATTTATGTAAAGTATTTTTTAAGTTATACAAATACAGTAAAAGGAAACTACATAAGAATGAGTCTATCAATCAAATGACAAATTTAAAGTACACTCATGATATTCCCTGATGAGGATAAACTCTTGATACAGACCTGAAAGTCTTTCCTCTATTGAGGGGAAACATTCTCAAGAAAAGGCAAATGATCTCATAGCAACATTAAAACGTACTCAGGAAAGCCTCCTTTAAATGGAAGAAACTGTAAATATAAATATTGCCATTCCACACATCACAGTGGCCTTAAAAATCCCACCACAGAGCCCTGTGGCATAGAAGGTCTCCACGCCCTTTAGTGCTTGGCTGACCCACTTCTGAGTTGCAGGGGAGCTCCATCTTTCCGACAGGAGAGAAAGGATACATGCACCACTGCAGCTCAGCAAGAACCTGTACTCTAAGAACAAAGTTCTTACAGGACCTGCTATACAGAAAAGCCATTTTATCATCTTAAAAGGCACCAATTAATATCTAATATGTAAATGTTACCTCTTTTTAGCCAAATATTAAGTATGAAAAAACATTAGTTCTCTAAAAAAGCTAATAAAGTCAAGTTATTATTACCATTATAACTTATAATGATTGACCATTTGTAGTCAATCAATTAACCTAATATAAAGTTATAGTCTTTTGTACCATGGTTTGACAACATTGTTTCATTTGTTCACCTAATATTTACTGTACACTTGTATAATTAGTCTAGTAGAACTTAGTGATTTTTCATCTCTTAGTGCTATGCTTTAAGAGTTTGAGAATCCCACCTCGTCACCTTCCTGGTTGGCAGGAGGAGACGAGGTACTCCAAAGAAAAATTAGTTAAAACTTTCCCACAGAATGAAGGTCTTCTGTACCACTTGAAATTTTTATACATAAATGCAGAGCTAGAATTTGTTTATTGTTTGTACTATTTTTGGTCTTCCTTAAGACCCTAGGTCATTTAAGTTCATTTTAGAAAATCATCACTAAATGATATATTTTAAAAATAAAGTTAGCAAGAACACAAACACGCAGGTAATCTCAGCAGAAGATAACAGGATAATAATAGTGAGAAGCTGAGTACAGGATCAGGCTCCTAGGGTCTAGCCCTAGCGGGATGACTAATTCTCTATATTCTCTTGGACAAGTGATAGATTTCTGGGTCTGATTTTATCATCTACAATAAAAGGCAGAGAAGAGCTCAAAGGTTCCCTCACCATTAATTGTGGGACTACCAGACAATCGAGGCCTCCCGATGTGATGGAATATGAAGTACTATTGTCAGAAACATTTAGCCTTAATCTTGGGAAGTCTTAGATCTAATCCAGTGTATAGGAAATCCAGAGTTTGAATGAAACAGATCCAGTAGGTGGGACACTCTACAGAACTGGCCTAGTCTCTTCAATAAGAGAATGTTATGGCGGGGGGGAGAGAAGTATTTTATAATAAAAGAGACTTAAGAGACATAACCAAATGCAATGTAAATACAAATGTATGACTCTTAACTGGATTCTTGTTTTTAAAAAAACAACAGTAAAACATTTGAGAAGATTAGAGAAATTTAAACATGGGTTAGTTATTGGGTACTAATTAGGAATTACCATTAATTTTGCTTGTGGTAGTGCTAACTGTGGATAAAGCAATGTGAGCTGTGTGACAATCCAGTACAGGGGCATAACCAGCACTGATTTTGCCTGGATGATTCAGGATAATCACCAAGTAAATATTTTAGAGATGCATATTAATTGCTAGTGTGAGTAAGTAAATATTTTAGAAATGCATATTAATAATTTGTGATGAAGAGCTATGCTACTTATAACATACTTGATATTCTTTAATATGTTAAAGGATTATTACTAATTTCTTAGGTGGAGAAATCAAATTGAGGCTAGGTTCCCTTAGAAAAAAAAAAAAGTCCTTATCTTTTAAAGAAATAAACTGGAAGAAATAATATAATGTTTGAGATTTGCTTTAAAATATGCCAGTGGGACACTGACCATGTCTCTGAGACTGGCTGCCTTCTAGCTAACTTTGCACCTGCACTCAGGCTGCCAGGGGAGGAAGAGAAGTCTGCAGGCACCACTTCTCTGTTCCCTTTCTATAGGATCAGAGCGCATGTTTTCAGAGAAGCTGCTGCTAAGGAGCTTCCAGACTATTCACAGGGCTTTAACTTCATGGTGCCTTCTCTTCTATCCTTTGTGACGCTGGGAGAAGGAAGCCATTCACGAAGCTGGTCTGCCCTACCCCCTCCCCTCGGCCCCACGCTCAGGAGCCCAGCCTTCTCCAAGTGTACCAGTGGATGCTGGTGGCAATACAAAAGCTGGGGTCCTGGCTTAGGTAAGTGAGTGTTTTTAGGGGAAGTAGACGTAGCAGGAAGTCCAGCCTTGATGTGGGGACACAAGGGATTCTGGAAATCAGCTTCTGTTGATAAGGAATGCATATCATAGGAGGGACTTTTCTTCAGACCCCAGTTCTGCACATAATGCACCAAACAGCCAGTACTGCTGAGACCCAGCAGGAGCCTACTTTGGAATGATGGAACTTGGCTTCAGATATAACCTCCTTTCACAGCATCTGAGGTGTCCAGGGCATTGGGATGGTTTTCCCATTGAGGCACTCAGCCTGCCCTCTCAGAGAGCAGTCTCCCTTCATGCCGAATCTCGTTTTCCAAAAGCTGTCCCTCTGGGGTGAGGTTGCATGGCCAGCTTTGTCTCTAGTCACATTTGTGCGTGTAAGAAAGCCAGGAATACAGGTTTTCTTCATGAAAAAAAATAGTCCAGTGGGGACCTATATATGATAAGACTGGTCCTGCACTGGTAACTGCTGAAGCTGGTTGATGAGAACATGGAACTTATCTAGTCTATTTTTATGTATTCTATTTTTATGTATATTTGAAATTTTCCATAATAAAAAGTTTTTAAAAAGAGAGAGAGAGGGAAAAAAAGCAATCCCATTTTTATGTATGTTTGAAATTTTCCATAATAAAAAGTTTTTAAAAAGAGAGAGAGAGGGAAAAAAAGCAATCCCACTACACACACACATAATAGTAAACTGAAGACTGAAAGTGCCAAGTGTTGGCAAGGATGTGAAACAACTTTGGAAAACTATAGGTCAGTATCTAATGAGTTGAACACGGGTACACCCTATGATACTGCGATTCCACTCCTAGGTATATTTCTAATAGAAATGCATGCATACGTGCATAGTAGTTTTGTATGTAATAGCAAATAAAAAGAAAAATAACACAAATATCCACCAAGAGCAGAATAGATAAATAAACTGTGGTATGTCTGCACAACGGAATAATATTAAGCAATTAAAATAAACAAATTATAACGACAGGCAATAAAATCAATTAATCTTACAACATGGAACAAAAGAAGCCAGACACAAAAGAGTACATACTGTAGATTCTTTCCACTTAAACAGAGTTTAAAAAGAAGTAAAACTAATCTACAGTGTTAGAAATTGATATACTGGTTACCTGCTGGGGACAAGGGAAGGCTAGGGCTTTAGAAGGGGGGTGAGGTAAGCTTCCAAGATGCTAATCATGTTCTAGTTCTTGCTCTGTGGGGTGGTAAGCAATAGTTTTATGATTTGTGCATTTTCCTATGTTTTACTTGTATAAAAAAGTAAAAAAAAAANGACTGGTCCTGCACTGGTAACTGCTGAAGCTGGTTGATGAGAACATGGAACTTATCTAGTCTATTTTTATGTATGTTTGAAATTTTCCATAATAAAAAGTTTTTAAAAAGAGAGAGAGAGGGAAAAAAAGCAATCCCACTACACACACACATAATAGTAAACTGAAGACTGAAAGTGCCAAGTGTTGGCAAGGATGTGAAACAACTTTGGAAAACTATAGGTCAGTATCTAATGAGTTGAACACGGGTACACCCTATGATACTGCGATTCCACTCCTAGGTATATTTCTAATAGAAATGCATGCATACGTGCATAGTAGTTTTGTATGTAATAGCAAATAAAAAGAAAAATAACACAAATATCCACCAAGAGCAGAATAGATAAATAAACTGTGGTATGTCTGCACAACGGAATAATATTAAGCAATTAAAATAAACAAATTATAACGACAGGCAATAAAATCAATTAATCTTACAACATGGAACAAAAGAAGCCAGACACAAAAGAGTACATACTGTAGATTCTTTCCACTTAAACAGAGTTTAAAAAGAAGTAAAACTAATCTACAGTGTTAGAAATTGATATACTGGTTACCTGCTGGGGACAAGGGAAGGCTAGGGCTTTAGAAGGGGGGTGAGGTAAGCTTCCAAGATGCTAATCATGTTCTAGTTCTTGCTCTGTGGGGTGGTAAGCAATAGTTTTATGATTTGTGCATTTTCCTATGTTTTACTTGTATAAAAAAGTAAAAAAAAAAAAAAAGAAAAAAACTTTAACAAAAAAATGAAGCAAATGTTAGCACTTATTAAATTTAGGAGATGGGTATATAGGTATTCCTAACACTATTTCTTATAAGTCCCCTATTTGAAAATTATTAATAAAAAGTCAAAAAAATTATGATGAGGGTGGGGGAACAACTCTTTGTTTTAAATCCATATGTTCTCAAAGGTATGTTTAACTAAAACAAGCTAGATTTAACATGTTATCTAGCTTGCGTTAGACTCATTTTTCCTAACACAGAAAGAGTTGGAAACAGTGTAAATCCACTAATACCATAATCTGTCACAAGAAATTCTGTAATAATTACTGCTAATGTCATGTCATACATTCATGTATCCTGGATCAATCATCATTCAGTCAAAATAAAGGGCACAGGTTTTCAGAGCCTGCAGCAGCTACTTATTAAGAAAAAAGAAGAAGAAACTTTAACCTCATTATTTTAACCTATTGACGTGGTATTTAATATGAAAGGCTTGCCCTGAGGGCCTTCTGCTCTTTGTTTTTGTTTTTTTACTTTTAAGTTATTAAATTAGTCAGGCTGATAAAGAGAAAACATGTATGTGTAATTGTAAATATCTGGGACATTGGGAATAGCAGCTAACAATTTTAAATATAATTATCCTAATTTAAAAACTTTCATCATGCTTTTTAAAACTGTTAGGATACAGGGCTGAACAATGGCTCACTTAGATCCCTGTACTGGCCAGTGCCAAAAAAAGAAAAACCAAATTTGTTAGGAAACAACATACAAAACCTTACCTTTCCAACAAATGGAACCAGATGATGTTCACACATGGAAAACATATCTATGTCTTTCACAATCACCATCTCATCATGATCTTCATCAAATATAGCATCATTGAGAACATCTGAAATCAGAAACTTGCTTCAGTAACATTTCCGATTTTATAGAAAGAAAAGCTATTATGGGTAAACATGAATAGACAGTCAACCTAAAAAAGAATGTTAATCCTCACCAAAATATTAAGGGAATACAAATTAAAACTAGTTATTTTTCCCCACCAAATTAACAAAGTCTTTTTTTTTTTAATGATATTTTAAAAATCCTTGATAGGGTGTTACATGAAAAATGCAGGATTACAGGGGCCGGTGGGTGGTTCACTCAGGAGAGTGCGGTGCTGATAACACCAAGGCCACAGGTTTGGATCCTATATAGGGATGGCCGGTTAGCTCATTGGCTGAGCGCGGTGCTGACAACACCAAGTCAAGGGTTAAGATCCCCTTACTGGTCATCTTTAAAAAAAAAAAAAAAGAAAAAGAAAAAAAATGCAGGATTACAAATACATTTGCTGCATGAGAAAGAAGGAGGAAGGGGAGGAGAGAAGGAGAGAGAAAGGAAAGAAATTATGCCAAAAGAAAATGGTGGCTATTTCTGTTGGTAGAAGTGGGCCACTTTCACTTTATTCCTTACATTTTCTTATACTTAATATTTTCTCTATAACGAACGTGTAGAAAACCATATTTGAGAAAAATAATCCATAGCCCTCTGACTCCTGAGGTCAGATCCAGACGCCTATAAACTTTACCTCTAGGGCCAACCCCATGGCTCACTCGGGAGAGTGCGGCATTGGCAGCGCAGCAGCGCTCCCACCGCGGGTTCGGATCCTACATAGGGATGGCCGCTGCGCTCACTGGCTGAGCACAGTGCTGGCGACACCAAGCCAAGGGTTGTGATCCCCTTACCGGTCACCAAAAAAAAAAAAAATACTTTACCTCTATTATCAATAATTTTCTACACTTACAAAATTTTTCAGTTATTGTAAGCAAACAGACTTATTCTAAACAGTCACCTTCCTAAGGAAATAAATCCTATAGTTTGTATGTATATGCCTCTCTAGGTAGGTCTTGGTTCATAGCAGTATCTTGTTTAAGGTGTGGATGTTGGAGCATATGGTTAGGCATACAAGACATTAAAAAACAAAAAGCTTGGGCCGGCCCAGTGGCGCACTGCTACAGTGCGCCGCTTGGGAATGCGGCGGTGCTCCCGCCGAGGGTTCGGATCCCACATACAGAGCGGTTCCCGCTCACCGGCTGAGCGAGGTGCGGGAGCAACACTGAGGGTTGCAATCCCGTTGCCGGTCCTGGTCTGGTACGGGCGCAACACTGAGGGTTGCGATCCGTTGCCGGACATGAAAAAAAGACAAAAAAAAAAAGCTTTATTTTTAATAATAGCACTGACTGAGCCTCAACTATCACATCTGCAAAACAGAAGGTTAACTAGATGATGCTGGAGGGAATTTTGATCTAACATTCTGTGACTG